GCTGCTCTTCCTCCCGGGGAAGGACTGCCTGTTCCATGATCTCGCCATCACGGTTGACAACTCCGTTGTGTCCTCCTCCCAGAGTGCGAAGAGCCTTGGCGTGACCCTGGACAACACCCTGTCGTTCTCCGCTAACATCAAGGCGGTGACCCGATCCTGGAGGTTCATGCTCTACAACATTCGGAGAGTACGACCCTGCCTTACACAGGAAGCGGCACAGGTCCTAATCCAGGCACTTGTCATCTCCCGTCTGGATTACTGCAACTCGCTGTTGGCTGGGCTCCCTGCCTGTGCCATTAAACCCCTACAACTCATCCAGAATGCCGCAGCCCGTCTGGTGTTCAACCTTCCCAAGTTCTCTCACGTCACCCCGCTCCTCCGCACACTCCACTGGCTTCCAGTTGAAGCTCGCATCTGCTACAAGACCATGGTGCTTGCCTACGGAGCTGTGAGGGGAACGGCACCTCCGTACCTTCAGGCTCTGATCAGTCCCTACACCCAAACGAGGGCATTGCGTTCATCCACCTCTGGCCTGCTGGCTCCCCTACCTCTGCGGAAGCATAGTTCCCGCTCAGCCCAGTCAAAACTGTTTGCTGCTCTGGCACCCCAATGGTGGAACAAGCTCCCTCACGACGCCAGGACAGCGGAGTCACTCACCACCTTCCGGAGACATTTGAAACCCCACCTCTTTAAGGAATACCTGGGATAGGATAAAGTAATCCTTCTACCCCCCCCTTACCCCAACCCCCCCAAAAAAAAAAAAAAAAAAAACATTGTAAAGTGGTTATCCCACTGGCTATAAGGTGAATGCACCTATTTGTAAGTCGCTCTGGATAAGAGCTTCTGCTAAATGACGTAAATGTAAATGTTATGTCTGGGGTGGAAAATCGACTTCCGAATGTACCATGCTTAGATTCATAATGACATCAAAGATTGAATTCTTTGCAAACAGTGACAGTTCCGTTGCAAACAAGACACACTGGTTTGGCATTGGAGAAATACAGTAAGATTAATATATTTTTAATAGAGTAGGTAAGCCTATTAATAGAGACTGGTGATTTTACCACTGTAATCATCTTGGGGAAGAGTGCAGATGTGCTCCGGTAAATAGATTACTTTCAGCACCGGCGACCATCTTGGTGGTGATATTGCTTGAGTGGTTGGACTTCCATTCTTACACTTCAAACATACCCCACCAGACACGCCACTATGGGTTTCTTCACGGTACCCAAACCCAAAACAGATTTAATGCGTTGATCAGTTATGTATAGAGCCATGTCATCGTGGAATGCTCAGGCTAAAACAAGTTTAGCTTTAAAAAACAGATAAACATCTTGTATCACAGCGCCTCTTCTCTTTCTAAAGATCTAATTTAACTGTACTTATGAATATGTATATATACAGTGCATTCGGAAAGTATTCAGACCCCTTGACTTTTTTCACATTTTGTTACATTTACATAAGTATTCAGACCCTTTTTACTCAGTACTTTGTTGAAGCACCTTTGGCAGCGATTACAGCCTCGAGTCTTCTTGGGTATGACGCTACAAGCTTGGCACACCGGGGCGGCAGGTAGCTTAGTGGTTAAGAGCGTTGTGCCAGTAACCGAAAGGTCGCTGGTTCTAATCCCCGAGCCGACTAGGTGAAAAATTGTCGATGTGCCCTTGAGCAAGGCACTTAACCCTAATTGCTCCTGTAAGTCGCTCTGGATAAGAGCGTCTGCTAAATGACTAAAATGTAAATGTAATCAGATCGAATTTATCATGTTATTGTCATTGAATTGATTAGCCCACTAACCACGTGTTAAATGTGTAGGGCTATTAATTGGGCCGCTAGTAGGCTATTTGCTAGTAGGCTAATTATGTTCTGGCCCACCTACTAGCTCAGGAACAAATTGGCTGGAGGCCAAACCTAGTTGCCAACCGCCGTTGTAAATTCTAATTTCAATCACCCCTTCACCATCATCATCATTTAGATCATTCAAAAATGTGTGGATATAAAGTATTCATACCCCTTGACTTATTTCACATTTTGTTGTGTTACATCATGAATTCAAAATGACTTAAAAATATATATATACAGTGGGGAGAACAAGTATTTGATACACTGCCGATTTTGCAGGTTTTCCTACTTACAAAGCATGTAGAGGTCTGTCATTTTTTATCATAGGTACACTTCAACTGTGAGAGACGGAATCTAAAACAAAAATCCAGAAAATCACATTGTATGATTTTTAAGTAATTAATTTGCATTTTAATGCATGACATAAGTATTTGATACATCAGAAAAGCAGAACTTAATATTTGGTACAGAAACCTTTGTTTGCAATTACAGAGATCATACGTTTCCTGTAGGTCTTGACCAGGTTTGCACACACTGCAGCAGGGATTTTGGCCCACTCCTCCATACAGACCTTCTCCAGATCCTTCAGGTTTCGGGGCTGTCGCTGGGCAATACGGACTTTCAGCTCCCTCCAAAGATTTTCTATTGGGTTCAGGTCTGGAGACTGGCTAGGCCACTCCAGGACCTTGAGATGCTTCTTACGGAGCCACTCCTTAGTTGCCCTGGCTGTGTGTTTCGGGTCGTTGTCATGCTGGAAGACCCAGCCACAACCCATCTTCAATGCTCTTACTGAGGCAAGGAGGTTGTTGGCCAAGATCTCGCGATACATGGCCCCATCCATCCTCCCCTCAATACGGTGCAGTCGTCCTGTCCCCTTTGCAGAAAAGCATCCCCAAAGACTTTCCACCTCCATGCTTCACGGTTGGGATGGTGTTCTTGGGGTTGTACTCATCCTTCTTCTTCCTCCAAACACGGCGAGTGGAGTTTAGACCAAAAAGCTCTATTTTTGTCTCATCAGACCACATGACCTTCTCCCATTCCTCCTCTGGATCATCCAGATGGTCATTGGCAAACTTCAGACGGGCCTGGACATGCGCTGGCTTGAGCAGGGCGACCTTGCGTGCGCTGCAGGATTTTAATCCATGACGGCGTAGTGTGTTACTAATGGTTTTCTTTGAGACTGTGGTCTCAGCTCTCTTCAGGTCATTGACCAGGTCCTGCCGTGTAGTTCTGCGCTGATCCCTCACCTTCCTCATGATCATTGATGCCCCACGAGGTGAGATCTTGCATGGAGCCCCAGACCGAGGGTGATTGACCGTCATCTTGAACTTCTTCCATTTTCTAATAATTACGGCAACAGTTGTTGCCTTCTCACCAAGCTGCTTGCCTATTGTCCTGTAGCCCATCCCAGCCTTGTGCAGGTCTACAATTTTATCCCTGATGTCCTTACACAGCTCTCTGGTCTTGGCCATTGTGGAGAGGTTGGAGTCTATTTGATTGAGTGTGTGGACAGGTGTCTTTTATACAGGTAACGAGTTCAAACAGGTGCAGTTAATACAGGTAATGAGTGGAGAACAGGAGGGCTTCTTAAAGAAAAACTAACAGGTCTGTGAGAGCCGGAATTCTTACTGGTTGGTAGGTGATCAAATACTTATGTCATGCAATAAAATGCAAATTAATTACTTAAAAATCATACAATGTGATTTTCTGGATTTTTGTTTTAGATTCCGTCTCTCACAGTTGAAGTGTACCTATGATAAAAATGACAGACCTCTACATGCTTTGTAAGTAGGAAAACCTGCAAAATCGGCAGTGTATCAAATACTTGTTCTCCTCACTGTAGCGTTGCTGCACAGCTATTTTCAGGTCTTTCCAGAGATGTTCAATCGGGTTCAAGTCCGGGCTCTGGCTGGGCCACTCAAAGACATTCAGAGACTTGTCCTGAAGCCACTCCTGTGTTGTCTTGGCTGTGTGCTTAGGGTCGTTGTCCTGTTGGAAGGTGAACCTTCGCCCCAGTCTGAGGTCCTGAGCGCTCTGGAGCAGGTTTTAGTCAAGGATCTCTCTGTACTTTGCTCTGTTCATCTTTGCCTCGATCCTGACTAGTCTCCCAGTCCATGCCACTGAAAAACATCCACACAGCATGATGCTGCCACCACCATGCTTCACTGTAGGGATGGTGCCAGGTTTCTTCCAGACGTGACGCTTGACATTCAGGCCAAATAATTAAATCTTGGTTTCATCATACCAGAGAATCTTGTCTCTTATGGTCTGAGAGTATTTAGGTGTCTTTTGGCAAACCTTCTCCCCCGATTGCTCAGTTTGGCCGGGCAGCCAGCTCTAGGAAGAGTCTTGGTGGTTTCAAACTTCTTCCATTTAAGAATAATGGAGGCCAGTGTACTTGGGGACCTTCAATGCTGCAGAAATGTTTTGGTACCCTTCCCCAGATCTGTGCATCAACATAATCCTGTCTCGGCGCTCTACGGACAATTCCTTCGACCTCATGGCTTGATTTTTGCTCTGACATGCACTGTCAACTGTGGGACCTTATATAGACAGGTGTGTGCCTTTCCAAATCATATCCAATCAATTGAATTTACCACAGGTGGACTCCAATCAAGTTGTAGAAACATCTCAAGGATGATAAATGGAAACCTTTAAAGGCACAGTCAACTTAGTGGATGTAAACTTCTGACCCACTGGAATTGTGATACAGTGACTTATAAGTGAAATAATGTGTCTGTAAACAATTGTTGGAAAAATTACTTGTGTCATGCACAAAGTAGTTTGTTAACAAGAAATTTGTGGAGTGGTTGAAAAACGAGTTTTAATGACAACCTAAGTGTATGTAAACTTCCGACTTCAACTGTATATTTAATATATTATATGAATGGTGACCACAGACCTTCCGAAAATGCATTTAAATTCCTGTTTATAATTAATTTTCCACCCTGCTCCATGTATTCAATGTATTCCATTTCAAATTTTGCTCCCAGTGTGGCTAGTTCAGGGGGTATTGTGACGCATCTGACAGTTCCTTCTCTGTATGTTCCTAGACTTTAAATATGATATCTTAATTACCAGTGTAGTGAAAAGTTAGTCAAATAGGGGAGAGGGGAGAACTATAATGATTACCCAGCCTGTGTTACTTTCTCTCCCAGATTGTGAAGGAGTATGAGAGGGCCATCATCTTTCGGCTGGGGCGGATCCTACGAGGAAGAGCTAAAGGGCCAGGTAGCATACTTCCCATCATCACCTTCACACCCACTGTCCTTGGAGAAACTCTGTGCCTAACACTGTGCCTATTAGCTATGATTCTCTCAAGGTCCCATAAAATGACTTTTTAAAGTCTGTAAGAGTATGATATAGACGAGAGTATGAGATAGACGAAAATCGCATTAAACCGAATGTGGGTCTGTCTTGAAACCACCTTAGCTGTGAAAGTACGTTAGGAGGAGGAGTCAAGACCCTACTTAGTTTGTATGTGGTATGGGGTAATTCTGCTTTCACCTATTTGTTTTACATTGTGGTGGGCTACCACACTACTATTGTTCTTCCATTGAACCACTGTGTAGGAGTTCACTGCAACGGATCTGTTATGCACTTCCTGTGTTCTAGTTTAAACACTCCTGTGCTGCTGTAGCTTATGTTTAAACAGAATTCCAGAACGTAAACCGAATTCCAGGGTTCATGCTGGAATACTTTCAGCAAGCACATTAGTTAAAATAGTGCCGGTCTTTCTTTTCAAAAGCATAGTTTGTGTGGTAGGATTTTTGCCTTGGTAACACTGTAAAAGACGTCTGGGGTATATTTGGTATGACAAACTGAATATACCAGTAGTTGGCCTTCAAATCGATCTTCATGGAATACTTTGAGAGGTCTCTATTTAACAATTAGTCACAGAATTTGGCAGCAATTGCAATCAATTAACTAATGAGCTTAAGAGGCTTAAACTAAATCTCTTGTCTAAATTAGTGATCTGAGAGCTCCGCTGCTGTCAGATACAAACTGATGTCTTGATGAGAAGCAGTGGGCCTGAGTCATAGTACTGAACTGGTAGTGCAGAATAAACACCCACATCCCTCCTCAGCTCTCTCTGATCTTTCTTTTGCCTACTACAAACCGCCTATTCGGAAGACCATTTAGTGTATTTCCTGTTTGTGCTTTCCTTCACTCTAATGATATTACCCTTTGATTGATGCTAACTTGAGGTTGCAATGGGTATTTGTGGTTGCAATCTCTCCTAATTTCTCCAATGGCCCGATTCAGTCTTAGGAAATGTACGCTTTTTTTCTATGCACACCTTTCCTACGCACTTCTCAGTAGTTGGTATTCAGAATTACCTTATGCAGGAGCATAACAGGCTTTGCAGGCGTGATTCCCTTGCTTGCACTGAGCACATTTATTTCAACCGTTGAAAACCACCCCACTTGCTGGCCAACACTTTGTCTCGTGGAGTTTTCATTCAATGCTGTTTTTAGTATATTTATCTAAAGCATCTCTTTAAATTTGGTGTACCTTTTAATTAGAATTTCCTCAACAGACTCACTACTACTAATATATGGAGAGAATGGTTCAGAATATTAGGGATCAATGAAAGAAACCCATGTAAATACACACATATTCGTCTCCTTTTCAGTACCAATTGGTCAATTTTAAAATACTCTGATCTTGTATATTATTTAGGGTTAGGAAAGTATTTATGAATAATAAAAAAAAAAGTTTGGAGAGCCTTTACGCACAAAATACACAGAGTATACAAAACATTTTTGCAAATTTATTACAAATAAAAAACGGAAATATCATATTTACATAAGTATTCAGACCCTTCACTCAGTACTTTGTTGAAGCATCTTTGGCTGCGATTACAGCCTTCTTGGTATGACGCTACAAGCTTGACACACCTGTATTTGGGGAGTTTCTCCCATTCTTCTCTGCAGATCCTCTCAAGCTCTGTCAGGTTGGATAGGGAGCGTCGATGCACAGCTATTTTCAGGTCTCTCTAGAGATGTTCGATCGGGTTCAAGTCTGGGCTCTGGCTGGGCCACTCAAGGACATTCAGAGACTTGCCCCGAAGCCACTCCTGCATTGTCGAAGCCACTCCTGCATTGTCGTCGTCGTGTTGGAAGGTGAACCTTCGTCCCAGTCTGGTGGTCCTCAGTGTTCTGGAGAAGGTTTTTATCAAGGATCTCTCTGTACTTTGCTCCGTTCATCTTTCCCTTGATCCTGACTAGTCTCCCCGTCCCTGCTGCTGGAAAACATCCTCACAACATGATGCTGCCACCACCATGCTTCACCATAGGGATGGTGCCAGGTTTCCTCTAGATGTGAAGCTTGGCATTCAGGCCAAAGAGTTCAATCTTGGTTTCATCAGACCAGAGAATCTTGTTTCTTGTGGTCTGAGTCATTTAGGTGCCTATTGGCAAACTCCAAGCGGGCTGTCATGTGCCTTTTATTGAGGAATGGTTTCCGTCTGGCCACTCTACCATAAAGGCCAGATTGGTGGAGTGCTACAGAGATTGTTGTTCTTCTGGAAGTTTCTCCGATCTCCACAGAGGAACTCTGGCGCTCTGTCAGAGTGACCATCAGGTTCTTGGTCACCTCCCTGACCAAGGCCCTTCTTTCCCGATTTCTCAGTTTGGCTGGGCGGCCAGCTCTAGGAAGAGTCTTGGTGGTTCCAAACTTCTTCCAATTAAGAATGATTGAGGCCACTGTGTTCTTAGGGACCTTCAATGCTGCAGACATTTTTTGGTACCCTTCTCCAGATCTATGCCTCAACACAATCCTGTCTTGGAGCTCTACGGACAATTCCTTCAACCTCATGGCTTGGTTTTTGCTCTAACATGCATGCTGAAAATACAATATTTGTGGTTATTGAAAATAGATTTCATAGCGGATTTTCTACAGTATACATTGCTTGTTTTGTCACATAAACAGAAGTTAGGCAAACTATTAGAATTGTATGGAATCATGTAGTAACCAAAAAAGTGTTAAACAAATCAAAATATGTTTTATATTTGAGATTCTTCAAATAGCCACCCTTTGCCTTGACAGCTTTGCACACTCTTGGCATTCTCTCAACCAGCTTCACCTGGAATGCTTTTCCAACAGTCTTGAAGGAGTTCCCACATATGCTGAGCACTTGTTGGCTGCTTTTCCTTCACTCTGCCGTCCGACTCATCCCAAACCATCTCAATTGGGTTGAGGTCGGGGTATTGTGGAGGCCAGGTCATCTGATGCAGCACTCCATCGCTCTGCTTCTTGGTAAAATAGCCCTTACACAGCCTGGAGGTGTGTTGGGTCATTGTCCTGTTGAGAAACAAATGATAGTCCCACTAAGCCCAAACCAGATGGGATGGCGTATTGCTGCAGAAAGCTGTGGTAGCCATGCTGGTTAAGTGTGCCTTGAATTCTAAATAAATCACAGACAGTTTCACCAGCAAGCACCCCCACACCATCACACTTCCTCCTCTGTGCTTTATGGTGGGAACTACACATGCGGAGATCATCCATTCACCCACACCGCGTCTCACAAAGACACGTCGGTTGGAACCAAAAATCTCCAATTTGGACTCCAGGCCAAAGGACAAATTTCCACCGGTCTAATGTCCATTGCTCGTGTTTCTTGGCCCAAGCAGGTCTCATATTATTATTGGTGTCCTTTAGTAGTGGTTTGTTTGCAGCAATTCGACCATGAAGGCCTAATTCACACAGTCCCCTCTGAAAAGTTGATGTTGAGATGTGTCTGTTACTTGAACTCTGTGAAGCATTTATTTGGGCTGCAACTTCAGAGGCTGATAACATGAATGAACTTATCCTCTGCAGCAGAGGTAACTCTGGTTCTTCCATTCCTGTGGCATTTTTCATGAGAGCCAGTTTCATCATGTCTTATAGTAATGATGGACTGTCGTTTCTCTTTGCTTATTTGAGCTGTTCTTGCCATAATATGGACTTGGTCTTTTACCAAATACGACTATCTTCTGTATACCCCCCTACCTTGTCACAACACAACTGATTGGCTCAAACGCATTAAGAAGGAAAGAAATTCCACAAATTAACTTTTATGAAGGCACACTTGTTAATTGAAATGCATTCCAGGTGACTACCTCATGAAGCTGGTTGAGAGAATGCCAAGAGTGTGCAAAGCTGTCATCAAGGTAAAGGGTGGCTATTTGAAGAATCTCAAATATAAAATATATATAACACTTTTTTTGGTTACTACATGATTCCATATGTGTTATTTCATAGTTTTGATGTCTTCACTATTATTCTACAATGTAAAAAATAGAAAAAATTAAGAAAAACCCTTGAATGAGTAGGTGTGTCTAAACTTTTGACTGGTAATGTAAGTGGCTGAATTAATAAGGCGACGGGGCATCATATTGGGTTAGCTTTCTGACGTGTTTGAGAAGTCAAAGCCCTTTGGATGGGTTATTTGTACAGCTGCCACTTCTATCTTGATTTCCTTGCATTTTTTCTCCTCTCCGTTCTCGGCCTATCTGCTCCTCCCCCTTCCTCTCTGAGCACGGCAGGCTCGTTGCCCTAGCGACTCCAGACTCCACACAGACACAGCATCTAGACATTCTGCTGGAGAGCCAGTACTGTTCTTCCTTCAGACAAGCATGCGTCATAACTTTGTTCATTTGGACAATGTCTCTCGTTCACATTCATTTGTAAATGTCCAAACTCACCAAAAATGACATTTGGTAGCTCCTACCTATATATGTATAACTTTATGAGCTGGATTGCCTGTCTTTGCAATTTGCATTTGCCTAATATGATCCACTGTTGCTAGCGATCCTCAGGAACAACCACACGAATGTGACAGAGGAAAGAAAGGTAAACTAATGATGTAATGGAATGATGCAAAATGTAAGGAAGCTAACACTAAAGTGACAGTTAGGAATGTATGTGGGTATAACTAACGGTGGCTACCGATAGTGACTAATATTTAAAACGATACAAATTGTAAAAGAATACAATGTAAAGAAAAGTCTGGGCATATAATTGAAGCATTCTACTAATCAAAAATCAACTCTGTAGATTTGGCGCTAAACTGTCATTTGCGCATGGCTAAAGAAGCCTATAACTTGGGAAGAAGCCTATAACTTGGGACTCCAAATGTCATCCCTGCAAGTTATAAGGCCAGTATTTCGTAAACTTCACTGTGGAAAAGGTGTTGATTTGCTTCAGTTTGCTGCCATATGACTGGTTTGACATTTGTCTCCAGTGATCATAAGGTAAAATGGATCTAAAACAATTGTCATTTATATTTACAATCCCCTTATCCAAACGGCTTACTCATTTACCTAGCTCTTATCAATAGCTCTTATCAATTAGTAAATTACAGTGCATGGAAACTGGTGTTATTTCTATCAGAGAAAAAAAAGAAAGTAGATGTTGTTCCACTTGGAACCGACAGGTTGCTTGACCTTATTCATCGTGCGTAAAGGTGGTGGAATTATGAGGGAATGAAGTCAAGGTCAGAATACGGCGTATCTGCAGACACACCTCCGTCACACCTTCATTCCTTTGATCTCCACCCCAAACGTATAGCGGGTTAATAGCATGCTATTCTCATGCTTAAGTTCAAGGTCAGAATACACGTAGAGAGAAAAGTCTATAAAAAGGGAATTATGTTCCATTTATGCGCTTAATTCGTGTCGGAATTCCCCCCTAGCTGAGCAGAGAGCATGCCTATCTCTTTGTAGTTGGAGTGGAAAAGTTAACATTTCACCCTCAGTATATAGTGGCATTCTTAAGATAGTTGATTGATTAGCTGTATTTACACTTTAACAATGTGCAAGATACGCTATTCCCATACAAATCTCCAACCTTCAGTGTAACTATAAAGTGGCCACAGTAGTCTATCTACCATAGCCAGGTTATGGACCTCAAACTCTCAAGCCTTGCTCTCCATGGATGAAACATGATCTAGCAGGATTCCGGAACAGCCGCATGATAACAGCCTGAGGTAATAATAGACCCTGTCCATCTGTCACGGAGGGACCCTCAACTTCCCCTGCTGCCCGGAGACACAAACACCAAAGTTTAGTTTAATATTTGGTTTGGCCAACTAAACTCTGCTCATTATCTTCATGGTCTTCCCCTCTCTCTCCATAACACGTCTTGTCCAACTGCCAGATAAGATCTTTTAACAGAATCAACTGTTTTAAGTCAGGCTATGGGCTAGTCAGTAGTCATTGCATTTTATGTTAGAAGTTTCCCTGATGCTTTATGCATTGGTGTTACTCTGCATTAGCCTAAACCAAGTTGTTGTGGTGAGTGATCCAGTGCCATTTTTAGGGTGGGAATCCATGGAATTTTCCATCATATCACATGATGCTTTGCATAGCAAATTCAGAGTATACTCCTGTGTTGCAGACTTGCAGTACAGTAGAACCAGGGCCAGCAGCTGGCACTTGGCTGAAGTCCCAGCTGGGAAGAATTATTCTAGAAAGAGAAGGAAATGTTTACATTAGTGAAAGTTGCATGGGACAAATGCCTCTGTTAAAGGGATACTTGGGGATTTTGGCAGTGAGGCCAAAATCCCGAAGTATCCTTTTAATCCCCTTTCTTTGGCCTAAGCTACATTATCTTACACACCATCATGCCCAGCACTCTGTGTTTGTACTGCACTGTACTGTACTGTATTGTACAATGATGAATCGGAGTGTGTGCAAACAAAGAGGAGTTAATGAATGCAGGATATGTATACTGTCATGATCAACAACAGTCTGGTTGTGTGAGACTAACTAGCTTTAAGCGTGGCTGTTAAACGTGTGTGTGTGTGTGTGTGTGTGCACCCCACAGGCCTGTTCTTCATCCTGCCGTGCACAGACAGTTTCATCAACGTGGACATGCGCACCATCACCTTCGACATCCCGCCACAAGAGGTGAGCCCCCCCCCCATTACCTTGATTACTCTATCATGTAATACCAGTTATGATCAGTGTTGTCAGTAGTAACTCATTTCTCCTTCTCCCCAGGTTCTGACTAAGGACTCAGTGACGGTCAGTGTTGATGGTGTGGTGTACTACCGTGTTCAGAATGCCATCCTGGCTGTGGCCAACATCACCAATGCTGACGCTGCCACCCGCTTGCTGGCACAGACCACCCTGAGGAATGTCCTGGGCACCAAGAACCTGGCTGAAATCCTGTCTGACCGTGAGGAGATAGCCCACAGCATGCAGGTACTGGACCACAGCATCCTACTACTCACTCTGTACTGACCATAACCTGGCCATACACACGCACCATACTTCACAGCATGCAGGTACTCTAATGCACTGTGGTCTGTTCTTTGTTTAATCTTGCTATAGCAACTTAATACCACACTTTGCAGCAAGCCATAATTGCCATAAAACAGGAGATGTTGCTAGAGTTCACTAAATGCCACTAGGTAGCAAAGGTGGAGGGGTATGTCTCATGATTAACAAGTCATGGTGTGATTGTGGTAGCGTACAGGAACTCAAGTCCTTTTGTTCTCCCGATCTGGAATACCTCAACAATTACCTCCCGAGATCATTTTGTTTGGTTATTGTCACTGCCGTGTATATTCCCCCCCCCCCCCCCCAAGCCGACACCACGACAACTCTCAAGAAACTACAATGGACTGTGCAAACTGGAAACCGCATATCTTGTGGCCGTGTTTATTGTAGCTGGGGACTTTAATGAAGGAAATCTTAGGAAAACGCTTCACATGCGCTGAATTGGTCACGTGCTGAATACAACAGCTGTAGACTTTACAGTAAAATGTTACTTACAAGCCCATTCCCAACAATGCAGAGTTAAAAAGTAAGACAAATATTTGCTAAATTAAAAAGTAAATAGTAACACAATAAAAACAATAACAAGGTTATAGACAAGGAGTACCAGTACCGAGTCAATGTGCCGGGTACAAGGTAGTTGAGGTAATTGAGGTAATACAGTATGTACATGTAGGTAGGGGTAAAAGGGATTAGGCAATCAGGATATATAATAAACAGAGTAGCAGCAGCGTATGTGAAGAGTGTGGAAGTGTGTGTGTGTGTGACATCAATATGTGTGTGTGTGTGTTTTGGAGTGTCAGTATAGTATGTGTGGGTAGAGTCCAGTGAGTGTGCATAGAGCCAGTGCAAGAGAGTCAGTCCAAAAATTAAAAATACACTTGCTTCAGGGCTCGGGTATTTTCTGTATACCAGGGAGCTAGTTTCTTTTGATGAATGTTTTTAGCAGTGCGACTGCATCTAGGGTATTACGCAAGGTTACATTTAGATCCTCGGTTAGGTGGTTAACAGATTGTTTTACTCCGGCGCCCTTGGGTAGGTGGAGGGAGTCTGGAAGTGCACCTAGGAATTTATAGTGCTGCTTTTGATAATCCTTGGTTGGGGTCTGAGCGAATAATTTGTTCCGATTGCAAACGTAATAAGATAGTGATTCAATAGTCAAGGATTATGAGGAAAAACATTTAGATCCACAATATCTATTCCACGGGACAAACATAGATCCAGGTTATGATTGTGGCAATGCGTATGTCCCGAGACATGTTGGACAAAACCCACTAGTAATGGTGCGGGTAATAACTTTTTATCTGTTTGTGCTAGAAACAATTTGTTTTCTCTGTAGTAATGGTTCAGCCGTGACAGTAACGAATCTGCACTCGCTTTTTTCTCGAGGGCACTCGGAAACAACGGTACAACGAAGCCTAATCATGACAACAATTTTTTCTAGGCGCACTGGTGCTCATAAAATTACATTTAATTTCAGGTCACACAGCAAAACATTTAGGAGCATATGCGACCATAATGGTTGCACTTTAGAGCCCTGTCTGGGCCTATTAGGACCTGAGGTTTCAAAAGGACCGTGTTGGATGTAGAGTTCAATGTCTTATCCCCTGCGTTTCCTCAGACTACCCTGGATGACGCTACAGATGACTGGGGTATCAAGGTGGAGCGAGTGGAGATCAAGGACGTCAAACTGCCCCAGCAGCTCCAGAGGGCCATGGCTGCAGAGGCCGAGGCTAGCCGCGAGGCCAGGGCAAAGGTACGGTACTGACACACATACAGACCAGGGTAACACACACACTTGAATATACAGGCATTGGTCTTTAGTCTATTTTTCAGTCCCTTGAGTTGAGGTAATCCTTTTCCTCTGAGTGAAAAATCCCACTTGTCTTCTATTATATCATTTGTTGATTTTATTGACTCCCAAAATAAATCATCCAGATGAAAATGTTTTCTTGAAGGGTCAACACGTCATCTCCCTTGTTCCTTAGCAACCGGTGGTCATGTCGTAAGAACCCGAGAGCATAGCAGGTCAAAAGCTGGGGCTCCTCTGCCCGAGTCTCCTCCCATCGGCCATTACACAAATTGGATATCATCTTCAATCTGCTGGTTAAAGATAAGAGGGCTCCCTGGGATTGATTTATTTAATCATCCACTCTCACTCTGGATACTCTCTATATGCTTACATTCACTCTCACTCTGGGTACTCTCTATATGCTTACATTCACTCTCACTCTGGGTACTCTCTATATGCTTACATTCACTCTCACTCTGGGTACTCTCTATATGCTTACATCCACTCTCACTCTGGGTACTCTCTATATGCTTGCATTCACTCTCACTCTGGGTACTTTCTATATGCTTACATTCACTTGATCTGTGGATGTGTGTGAAGAAGAAGCCGAAGCGGCGGATCGGACAGTGAGGAGACAGACAGGATGTTCTGGTGCTCACCTCTCTTAGAGGCTTTTATTTACAATATTAACAGGTGCAGGACTAATTGGCCAATAAACTTTGTACAGAAAATAACAAACAGGATGTTGACAAAGACTTTCAAAGATATTCTCAGTATAAACTATTCTGGCAACAACTCTTTGCCTCTAACAAAACTTGGGTATAACTCTACTTTAGCCAACCTGTTAGCTGCCCAGCCTGCTCTCCCCCGGGCAAAAGCCAACAACATCCTAAGTACTCTTTCCAGGAACTCCCTTCAGCTAGGAATGTTCCATCATGATAGCCCCAAAACAAATTTCTACCATAAATGCGTAATTTCCCATGGACATATAACATCATAAACAACTGTTTTACATAAACACACACTTCAATAACTTGTGCCATAACTTCTTCTTTAAGTCACACAATACACATTCATGAAGTAATTCACCCCCGGGATAATTCATCACTTTGGTTATTCCCGTCAACCAATAAATGTTCCTCGATGACTCGTAGACTAATTTGCGTCATGCGTAAAGCACAGCGGCACTTCAACAAGGAAACAGCGCGGCGCTTCAGACAAACACACAAGGTATGTTAAATGATATGATTATACTCTACCAACACATTGATCGTTATTCTATTAATATATTTCACATTGCTAGAGCATGTACGTTTAAATGGGCAGCTTTATACACTGTAGAAACATGGTTAACAAGTTACATTGTTTTAGTAATTGGTGTGCACAACAAACACTCGACTTTGGCGCCTTATGTCAAAGTATTGTTGGCAAACGGAATGTGCTACTCAATCCAACATATTCTCTTTTGTTTCAGGATTCTTGGCTATACCTTAAAGAGATACAGTGGGGGAAAAAAGTATTTAGTCAGCCACCAATTGTGCAAGTTCTCCCACTTAAAAAGATGAGAGAGGCCTGTAATTGTCATCATAGGTACACGTCAACTATGACAGACAAAATGAGAAAAAAAAATCCAGAAAATCACATAGTAGGATTTTTAATGAATTTATTTGCAAATTATGGTGGAAAATAAGTATTTGGTCATCTACAAACAAGCAAGATTTCTGGCTCTCACAGACCTGTAACTTCTTCTTTAAGAGGCTCCTCTGTCCTCCACCCGTTACCTGTATTAATGGCACCTGTTTGAACTTGTTATCAGTATAAAAGACACATGTCCACAACCTCAAACAGTCACACTCCAAACTCCACTATGGCCAAGACCAAAGAGCTGTCAAAGGACACCAGAAACAAAATTGTAGACCTGCACCAGGCTGGGAAGACTGAATCTGCAATAGGTAAGCAGCTTGGTTTGAAGAAATCAACTGTGGGAGCAATTATTAGGAAATGGAAGACATACAAGACCACTGATAATCTCCCTCGATCTGGGGCTCCACGCAAGATCTCACTCCGTGGGGTCAAAATGATCACAAGAACGGTGAGCAAAAATCCCAGAACCACACAGGGGGACCTAGTGAATGACCTGCAGAGAGCTGGGACCAAAGTAACAAAGCATACCATCAGTAACACACTACGTCGCCAGGGACTCAAATCCTGCAGTGCCAGACGTGTCCCCCTGCTTAAGCCAGTACATGTCCAGGCCCGTCTGAAGTTTGCTAGAGTGCATTTGGATGATCCAGAAGAGGATTGGGAGAATGTCATATGGTCAGATGAAACCAAAATATAACTTTTTGGTAAAAACTCAACTCGTCGTATTTGGAGGACAAAGAATGCTGAGTTGCATCCAAAGAACACCATACCTACTGTGAAGCATGGGGGTGGAAACATCATGCTTTGGGGCTGTTATTCTGCAAAGGGACCAGGACGACTGATTCGTGTAAAGGAAAGAATGAATGGGGCCATGTATCGTGAGATTTTGAGTGAAAACCTCCTTCCATCAGCAAGGGCATTGAAGATGAAACTTGGCTGGGTCTTTCAGCATGACAATGATCCCAAACACACCGCACGGGCAACGAAGGAGTGGCTTCGTAAGAAGCATTTCAAGGTCCTGGAGTGGCTTAGCCAGTCTCCAGATCTCAACCCCATAGAAAATCTTTGGAGGGAGTTGAAAGTCTGTGTTGCCCAGCGACAGCCCCAAAACATCACTGCTCTAGAGGAGATCTGCATGGAGGAATGGGCCAAAATACCAGCAACAGTGTGTGAAAACCTTGTGAAGACATACAGAAAACGTTTGACCTGTGTCATTTCCAACAAAGGGTATATAACAAAGTATTGAGAAACTTTTGTTATTGACCAAATACTTATTTTCAACCATAATTTGCAAATAAATTCATTAAAAATCCTACAATGTGATTTTCTGGATTTTCTTTTCTCATTTTGTCTATCATCGTTGACGTGCACCTATGATGAAAATTACAGGCCTCTCTCATCTTTTTAAGTGGGAGAACTTGCACAATTGGTGGCTGACTAAATACTTTTTTTCCCCACTGTACAATAAAGAGTCTCTCCAACCAATAATTTGTTTCAGTGTCATTGTCTATAAGTCATGGACATGCGCTCCATGACAATGTGGAATTCTTGCTCTCTCTCTCTCCATTATCTATCTTCATTACTTAATGGTCATTACCTAACCTCTTTTTCTTCCATCTCTCCCTTCATCTCTCTATCTGTCCCCCTCCTTCCTGCCTTCTGTGTGTAGGTGATAGCAGCGGAGGGGGAGATGAACGCTTCGCGGGCTCTGAAGGAGGCCTCTCTGGTGATCGCTGAGTCTCCATCGGGCCTGCAGCTGCGCTACCTGCAGACCCTCAACACCATAGCTGCTGAGAAGAACTCCACCATCATCTTCCCCCTGCCAATGGACATGATGCAGGCCTTCATGAAGAGAGACTGAGGAGAGCCTGTTGGGTGCTGTGAGAGTGCTGTTACACACATTCACACACACGAAACAAACATTCCCACATATATCATAGTGTGCTGCTTTGGGAATCGGCTGTAGAAATGAAGTGGCTGTGATTGAACAAACCCTTTCCCTTGTGTCAAATGTTATTATGTCAATGCCAGCTGGTGCAGAGGAGGATAGTTACACAGCTTGGTTGCGCTTTATGGGTCAAATAACTTAATGTAAGTATTTTGTGTGTTAAGACTATATTCTGAATTGTGAATTCCCATTGAATGGAACAGAGAAGCAGGGTTTGAACAAAACCAAGGGAAACTGAGTCGCCACTCGCCAGTACTACTGGGGTGTGGTGTTTCCTGCACTGCTATGAGACCAGGATGTACTAGGGACCCTGTTTGTCTGTCTGTCTCCATGGGAAGCAACCTCTTTACTATGGCCATTTAATCAGCTCAAAGCCTTAAATCATTGCCATGGAGTCGATGTACTCATCTCATACACTTTCTATGCATATCTCGATGGAAATTGGAAGTTCATTTTAATCTGTTTTAAAATACCAATATTTTATAATCAAGACTACACGCTCTTCAGATGCTGTTACAGTACCTATACAGTATACATTACTTTACTGTATAAAACATGGTATGTGTTATACACTGAGTATACCAAACATTAGGAACACCTTCCTAATATTGAATTGCGTCCTCTCAAAACAGCCTCAATTTGTCGGGGCATGGTCTCTACAATGTGTTGAAAGTGTTCCACAGGGATGCTGGCCCATGTTGACTCCAATGCTTCCCACAGTTGTGGCAAGTTGGCTGGATGTCCTTTGGGTGATCGATCATTCTTGATACACACGGGAAACTGTTCAGCGTGAAAAACCCAGCAGTGTTGCAGTTCTTGACACAAACCGGTGCACCTGGCACCTACTACCATACCCTGTTCAAAGGCACTTACATTTTTTTGTCTTGCCCATTCACCATCTGAATGACACATACACAATCCATGTCTCAATTGTCTCAAGGCTTAAAAATCCTTCTTTAACCTGTCTCCTCCCATTCATCTGCACTGATTGAAATGGATTTAACAAGTGTAAGTCGCTCTGGATAAGAGCGTCTGCTAAATGACGTAAATGTAAATGTAAATGTAAGTGACATCAATAAAGGATCATAGTTTTCACTTGGATTCACCTGGTCAGTCTGTCATGGAAAGAGCAGGTGTTCTTAATGTTTTGTATAGTCAGTGTATGTGTTCTGTTTTATGGTTTTATAGTGTATAGTGTTACTGTATGTGTAAAGGAGGACACAGTTACATTATTTCATGTTACTAAACCGCTCTGTTGTAACCTATTTTTCTCATATTTAAATTATTTCTTATCATGTTCATATTTTCATATCCACATCATGCAAACTTGCTGGTAAACATTTTCTATAAAGGTCAATGTTAATTATGATTAATTGTATATGTATTGACATACATTTGAAACTGCACTTCAAAACAAACTGTTGTCCTTCAAAGCTGTATTGTTATTTTCACTATGATTCAGCCTTTAAATAAAAATGATATACACTTTAAATGAACACATCTAGTGTCAGTTACATAAGAGGTTTTATTGAAACAATAGTAAGGCCTGGGGAAAACCATTGAACTTGACATTGACTGCTGTTAGGTGTGGCTTGTGATGGTTCTAGCAGCAAAGCTTTGGATTCCCCATGAAGAATAGTATTAGAGGCTGTAGAAAGAGGCAAGCGAACATGCACTGACCACAGTGAGGAGAGGAGTGAGGCTGAGTATTTCTGTCTATAATACCCAGAATAGAAGCACTAATTGAGTGAGCCTCCTACTCCTGACTGGCTGACACCAAATAAAAACAAATATGGCTTGCTACACTCCCTCAATCCCTCTCCCCTGCGTTCCTTTCCATTATGGCAGAGAACCCCTGAATTGATGTGTCACTTCATACCGAACATGAAGTATCATACATTAGGGACTTCAATCCGTATCGCAGAAATTCAGCGCTAAAGCCCAATTGAAATTTAAAGGCAATGTTCCTGCGTTTTCGGAGACCTTACTTAAGTAAGGTTATGTTATGTTTGGTGTGGTCCTCTGTAGCTCAGCTGGTAGAGCACGGCGCTTGTAACGGCAAGGTAGTGGGTTCGATCCCCGGGACCACCCATACACAAAAATGTATGCACGCACGACTGTAAGTCGCTTTGGATAAAAGCGTCTGCTAAATGGCATATTATTTATTTATTTATGTCTGGCAGTGTTTTTTCCTCAAAGGCTTTGGCTCCCTGCCTCTTGGTTCAGATGATTGTAATATGCTAGGTTTCTTAATGGTGAGATACTGAATAGAAACAGCCTACTGTTGTTGGCATCGTAGAAAACACGTAGAAAATATCTCATACAAAAAATATATTTCAATCTCCATGCAGATTGTAGCAGGTGCAAAGCCTTATCTAAGCCTGTGGTTCCATTAAAGCCCTTGTTATTGGTCACTTGCATGCTTATTTCCATATGTATAAAAGCTAATAAAGTCTCCAGTTTATTATCAGGAGAATCCATTGGTCACTGCTCCTAAATATCCTTGGATGAATTTAGAAGCAGGGGTGGGCTGAAATAATGACACAAAACATTATCATGACAATACGAAAACATGAAATGAGAAACATATGTTTTACATGTGGTGGGGGAGTAGAGCTAGTCTATCACAGTACCTTAATGGCGTTGCGATAGTGCACCTGTGCTCTGTATCAGATATACAGGGGTATGAAAGCCTCTTCTACTCTCTAATCAAAGCAACACATTCAAACCTAAAAGCTCAATATTCTTTGACACATTTCTTTCAAAATTTTAAAAATTCAACAAAAATCATTCTCCCACTGGCAGTCAGAAGAAAGGAGGTTGGCGGGGCATAGAGGCTTCCCCATTGAAAGTCTCATGACTGGAGCTGCTCAGTGCGTGCGGTAAAGCCAGGCGGCAGGGTTAGGGGTTAAAGGTGACGGTTCACAGCTCCAGCTCAGCCATGGCCCGCTCCAGGGGGTTGCTGGTCCAGTACTCATGGTCCCAGCCCAGGAACCAGCCGGAGAACGTGGGTGGCTCGAACCTTTGCTTGATCTTCACGATGGGTGTCCTGCGGTCACGGTTGGCAGGGTCCGTCTCAATGTAACGCACAGCTGGGGGAGGAGGGGATTAAATTGTAGTTCTATAGAGAGCAGTTTTCCCAGTGGGAAGCTTCTCAATCAAATGATTTTGGTCTTGAGTAATGCACTCAAAAAAGCAAGATGGCATGAACATTCTCTATGTAAAAACGTCTACAAGATAATTAATTAAGAATTTGTTAAATTTAGCAGTTGTTTTGCATTTTATTACTTACCGGAGGCCATCGCCTCAGTCTTCTCCTCTTCCTGGGCTTCATTCCCGATCCAGACAAACACCTAGAAGAGGATATTCAACTTTTATTAGACTATGTACAGCAATTCATCTGTTATCCATTGTGTTACTGTGCAGGTGTAGGATCTTAATTTGATCACTCTTTTGTTGCTGAGAATGTTCCTTTACCGCAGGAAATGCTGATGAGCTTTGTGATTTACATAAATTCACTGACAACCCACACTAAGACAGGGTTATATTAAGAGTATTGCACTTTTTATGTAGTCTACTTTCGTCCACCTTATTTTGCTGTTAAAGTATAGGTCAAATTAAGGTCCTATATCTGCATACTTAATAACGTTCACATCTCAGAAAATACCACATGCTAATTTATCTACCTGATCCCATGTGTCCAGGATCATGACATCATCAGTGGCCAGATCTTCTTGGGTCATCTCCCCAGGCACCTCCTCAATCTGGGTGGAGAAGTCGACAAGGCATTAGAAAAACCAGGGTTAAAGGTTTAACCATGAATGGCTTATGGTAATAATAATGGGACTCACAATGAAGTTTCCAGTCTTGTTGGAGCAGGCGAAGAGCCTGGGTGGATGGGCGTCCATCTTGTCATTGCTTCTGAGTCTGGAGGAGGTGCGGTACGCTGACTTCCCTCCCAGAGCCTCCCAGAAATCATCTGCATAGAGACACACAATAGTCAGTTAGCTAGGACATGCCACAGACAGCCACAGAGCAAAGAAAAGCCAATGTCCATTGGTACAATGTACATACCGGTCTCTCCGCCCTCAGGCAGTTCTGAGGAGGACACCCCCAGGATAACACAGAGCTGCTGTGTGCCATTTTTCTCAGTGTCACTGGCCCCCTGGCCAACCCACACGAAGGAGGCTCCAGGAGTCACCAGGAGGAAGGCATCGTTGGAGTTCAGGTTGGAGGACACAGCATCAATCTAGAGGTGGATGAGACATGGTGGGTAGAAAATGACCACGAGTGTCATGTCTGTAAATATATTGCAGTTTAGTAGCTAATTTCTGAAATATGAGAGGCATTGTCCCCATGTCACTCACCTCCACAGCTCTTGTGCACCCTGCAGAGTTGGAGCGCACCTGGAAGAGTCGTGTTTCTGCGGGGGCGGACTGGCCCCCATCTCTGGACGTACCTCCCTTGTACACCACCATGGGCTGCCCCCCGAAGAGGCTCATGAGGTGAGCTGGCTCCTTGCCCTGGACCACCCTCACCTGGACCACACAGAGCAAACTAGTTACACTGAGTATACAGAACATTTCCATGACATAGACTGACCAGGTGAATCAAATCAAATCAGCTTTTATTTGCCATATGCGCCGAATACAACAGGTGTAGACCTTACAGTGAAATGCTTACTTACAAGCCCTTAACCAACAATGCATGTTAAGTAAAAAATAGATAAGTAAACAATAACAAATAATTAAAGAGCAGCAGTAAAATAAAATAACAGTAGGGAGGCTATATACAGGGGGTACCGGTACAGAGTCAATGTGCGGGGGCACCGGTTAGTCGAGGTAATTGAGGTAATATGTACATGCGGGTAGAGTTAAAGTGACTATGCAGAGATAATAAACAGAGAGTAGCAGCAGCGTAAAAAGAAGGGGTGGGGTGGAGGGGACAATGCAAATAGTCCGGGTAGCCATGATTAGCTTGGATTTTTAATCCAGGTGAAAGCTATGATCCCTTATTGATGTCACTTATTAAATCCATTTAAAATCAGTGTAGATAAAGGGGAGGAGACAGGTCAAAGAAGGATTTTTAATCCTTTAGACAATTGAGACATGGATTGTGTATGTGTGCCATTCAGAGAGTGAATGGGCAAGACAAAACATTTAAGTGCCTTTGAACGGGGTATGGTAGTAGGTGGCAGGCGCACCGGTTTGTATCAAGAACTGCAACGCTGCTGGGTTTTTCACGCTCAACAGTTTCCCGTGTGCATCAAGAATGGTCCACCACCCAAAGGACATCTAGCCAACTTGACACAACTGTGGGAAGTATTGGTCAACATGGGCCGATGCGGTGAAAAACAAAAAGCAGTGGATATTTGGAAGAATATAATTGTATTTAATTACATCTATTTGGAAATCTACGGACATAATTGCAACGCAGCCTTGCATGTGTCTGCAAAAATGTCCCACAGGGTGGCAGCAGTGAGCTCTGAACAACAAGGCACGAAAACACTAAGCGCCAAGTGTTCTACAGCGCTCCCCACCCTACTCTCCCAGCATGCTGTGTGTCTGTCTGGCTGGCTGGCTGACAGCAGGACGTCATGTTTAGTGGATGCAGCAAGCTTGACACGACATCTGCCAGCACAAAGAAGCCTGCTCTCTCCCCCTCCCCTTAAAGAGCAACTGCTCCTAAAAAGCAACTTCTTGTTTAGAAAATGTCCTGGCATCGATATCAGTCAGAAAAATGTATTTCAGTGTAAAAATTAACTACAAAGTGTAAATAGTGTCAGTCTCGTCCAAAACTGAGATTTGCGAGATGATAGGAAAAAATTGTTTAGTATGTCACGGAATGACGGGTACAGTAACAGTTTTCCGTGGGTTGGGTTAATTTGAATCCTTCCCACAGCTGGCAGCACCCAAGTAATCGTCAATTCAGAGTGCAGCTGCATGCGACCCAAACGTAATGCCCATGGTCAATTTGGTTTGACATTCGATCTCCCTATGGGGGCAAGTTAGGGACCATCAGTAAATTACACAATGTACATGGGACAATATTTTAAAAGGTCCATAGCTTCAAATGTCAATGACTTAAAAACCTAAAATCAACTATAAATTGTAGAAAATCATATACAAATATTGAAAGCATTTAATGAGACAACTAAAAGATGTGGAACATGAAAATATTATCCCGCTTACATTGTGTAATTTATTGATAGTCCCTAACTATCACCAGAGATGGGCTATCCAAAATCTGACTATGTTCATTTATCACTGTTTAGTCACTGAAGAGTGCATTTGTTCTCCTCTTAACACCATTCCTGTCATTTTGGGACCTGCGTGAGCCTGCACAAAGCCTTGTTCAGTATTTTTTGCTTTCAAAATTGGAGACTACTAATCGGAGAGATTAGAGTTAATGAAGAAGTCTACCTCTGTACTGAAAACGTGTGAGGCAATGTTGCAATCTTGGATGTTTAGTGTGATTACTAATTGCCATGTATTTCCATTCATTGAGTTCCTCTAAATTCTGTTTCTGTTGCATGACTATGAATCACACTGTTACAAATGTATGTATGATGATGTGTGTCATCAGCTGTTAGACATCATGAACAGTTTGATGGAACAGAAACAGGTTTGTGCCTGAAGTTTCCACCCTGGTGGGCTTTACTGTTAGTCATGCATTATAACACATCAATTAAATAACTACGTATTGCAGATCCCACTTTTTCACCCTGTCTATAGACAGGAAGGTGAGACACTGACAGGCACAAACAGACAGAAACACAGAAAGAGGTGGTCGCAGACATTCCCAGTGCATGGAACCTTATACAGAGCCAAGGCATGATCTAGCTAAATCATAAAGAACTGCAGTATATAAGACAACCTAGAACGGCGTTTCCCAAACTCGGTCCTGGGGACCCCAAGGTGTGCATGTTTTGGTTGTTGCTCTAGCACTACACAGCTAATTCAAATAATCAAAGGTTGATGATGAGTTCCTTATTTAAATCAGCTGTGTAGTGCTAGGGCAAAAACCAAAACGTTTGGGAAACGCTGACCTCGAATCACTGGTGGCCTCTATACATCTCATAGGGACAAGCAAGACAGCTCTTTGTCCCTACAACAGGTCTGGGAATTGGCTCGTCTGGGAACAGTAACTATGTGTCAGAGTGGTGAAGCAACAAAATCAGAGAGGATAAAGGGAACTCCCTCATAAACATGGCCCTGGAATGTCCTGTTTGGGGTCCCTGTTGATTTGAACCAGCTGATTTCTCTGTAAACACATTGAGCCATATCAGTTAAATACACTGCTCTGTACTGAGTTCTACAGCCCTGAGAGGAGAGTACCTGGGTGGTAATAGGAGCACCTGCAACCTGGAGAGACAAACAGGAAGCAAATGAAGGACAGGAAGCAATGAGAGGAGGAGGGAGAGGAGGAAGAGGGAGAGTGACACACTGGTAAGGAAGGAGGTTACTGGACTGATGAGGCTAAGAGGAAACCATAGAAAAAAGGAATATGCGATGGGAAAAGAAAGCCACTTCTTCTATACACACCCACTCACAAACACACATTCATTACCTGCACAGGCCCACCACCAAGCTCATCGTCCAACTGGGCACCCAAGATGGCTGAAGCACCAATTTCGTCCTGGGAAGAGTCACTTCCTTGCCTGAGAGATATTCTAGTTAGCAATGTATCTCTTCTGATGGTCTCTCTACTGTTTCATTGTACTTTTACTTTAGTGTCTGTCTTACCACATGTAGATGATGTGCCCTTGGCGTCCTCCATGGTGGTAGTTATAGAGGATGATGTAACTGTCTCCGCCATAGAACTGTCCGTGTGTGGAGGGGTCCACTTCTACCTTGTCTGATCCCTCAATACGCCAGATCTGTACATAAACATACACATTATGTGACCCCTAGTGGTGGCAGGCTACCAAAACAGAGCTATATACAGTGGGGAAAAAAATTATTTAGTCAGCCACCAATTGTACAAGTTCTCCCACTTAAAAAGATGAGAGAGGCCTGTAATTTTCATCATAGGTACACGTCAACTATGACAGACAAATTGAGAATATTTTTTCCAGAAAATCACATTGTAGGATTTTTAATGAATTTATTTGCAAATTATGGTGGAAAATAAGTATTTGGTCACCTACAAACAAGCAAGATTTCTGGCTCTCACAGACCTGTAACTTCTCCTTTAAGAGGCTCCTCTGTCCTCCACTCGTTACCTGTATTAATGGCACCTGTTTGAACTTGTTATCAGTATAAAAGACACCTGTCCACAACCTCAAACAGTCACACTCCAAACTCCACTATGGCCAAGACCAAAGAGCTGTCAAAGGACACCAGAAACAAAATTGTAGACCTGCACCAGGCTGGGAAGACTGAATCTGCAATAGGTAAGCAGCTTGGTTTGAAGAAATCAACTGTGGGAGCAATTATTAGGAAATGGAAGACATACAAGACCACTGATAATCTCCCTCGGTCTGGGGCTCCACGCAAGATCTCACCCCGTGGGGTCAAAATGATCACAAGAACGGTGAGCAAAAATCCCAGAACCACACGGGGGGACCTAGTGAATGACCTGCAGAGAGCTGGGACCAAAGTAACAAACACTACCATCAGTAACACACTACGCCGCCAGGGACTCAAATCCTGCAGTGCCAGACGTGTCCCCCTGCTTAAGCCAGTACATGTCCAGGCCCGTCTGAAGTTTGCTAGAGTGCATTTGGATGATCCAGAAGAGGATTGGGAGAATGTCATATGGTCAGATGAAACCAAAATAGAACTTTTTGGTAAAAACTCAACTCGTCGTGTTTGGAGGACAAAGAATGCTGAGTTGCATCCAAAGAACACCATACCTACTGTGAAGCATGGGTGTGGAAACATCATGCTTTGGGGCTGTTTTTCTGCAAAGGGACCAGGACGACTGATCCGTGTAAAGGAAAGAATGAATGGGGCCATGTATTGTGAGATTTTGAGTGAAAACCTCCTTCCATCAGCAAGGGCATTGAAGATGAAACGTGGCTGGGTCTTTCAGCATGACAATGATCCCAAACACACTGCCCGGGCAACGAAGGAGTGGCTTCGTAAGAAGCATTTCAAGGTCCTGGAGGGGCCTAGCCAGTCTCCAGATCTCAACCCCATAGAAAATCTTTGGAGGGAGTTGAAAGTCTGTGTTGCCCAGCGACAACCCCAAAACATCACTGCTCTAGAGGAGATCTGCATGAAGGAATGGGCCAAAATACCAGCAACAGTGTGTGAAAACCTTGTGAAGACTTACAGAAAACGTTTGACCTGTGTCATTGCCAACAAAGGGTATATAACAAAGTATTGAGAAACTTTAGTTATTGACCAAATACTTATTTTCCACCATAATTTGCAAATAAATTCATAAAAAAATCCTACAATGTGATTTTCTGGAGAGAAAAAAATCTCATTTTGTCTGTCATAGTTGACGTGTACCTATGATGAAAATTACAGGCCTCTCTCATCTTTTTAAGTGGGAGAACTTGCACAATTGGTGGCTGACTAAATACTTTTTTTCCCCACTGTACTGTATGTAAATACAAATTCATACCCCTTTCATTTCGTTGCTATCTGTTCATCAGAGATTTCCTACTTTAGTATCCTTCCTCTACTGGCTGCATTGGGCTGAAACCCTAGCATACCTCCCTCACAGTCTACATAGATTAGCTCACAGAATGCTTATTACTGTATGATATCCCTAATACATAAAGTTGATAGTTACTCACAGCAATACTCATCCTGATAGTTACTCTAAGAAAGATTACTGGGAAGGCTTGCTGTACAATGTGGGCACAGGACCAGCCGTTCGTCTTGTCCACCCACCTGCTTGTCTCCGTTGCCGCCGTCCACCATGCCGTGCTGGGCAGACATGGCGGGGGAGTCGTGGAGCGTGGCAGCATCAAATGGCACCTTCTCTAGCTTGGCGATGCTGTTGGAGACATAGGCCACACCCAGACCCTCCGTCTGGTCCTTGTCACGCCAGTTCTTGAAGAACTGTTTGAAGAGAGGCGTCTCTCCCATCTCCGGCAGGATCTGCACCTGGGTGTGTTTAGGGTAGCCCATCTTCTTGATGAACTCATCTGCTGCCTTCATGGCTGCCTTACGCTCATCCAGGTTGGCTTCTTTGCCTGGGTAAGAGTGTGTGGAAGAGGGGAGAGAAATACAAAAAGTGGGTTTAATGAATTCAACCACTTAGAAACTATAAAGACTGAAAAATAACGGAGGACAGTTATCTTTTGAAATAAGAACAACACCTTTCAGTTGCATCCAGTGGCATCAATTGGGTATGGCAGTCGCAATACCTTAGCTCAACACCAACAATTTAAAATAGACTACTAAAATCATTCCAATCACGATTAAAAGGCAAATGCAGTTTAGTGGTATTAGAAGGCTGACTTTAGAACTATGCGGACACCTGAGAGTTGGAGGGAAGGGTGTTTGTGTAGCTGGCTGGCTTTATGGAAAGCGCTTCGATGCAGCTGCAGGGAATAGCAAGAATTTTTCTCAAAACAGTGCAGAGGTAAAGATGGCTATAGTAGATGGCTTTGGCTAGGTAACTGCTGTTTGACTTCACATTAAACTAAACTAGAGTTTTAATCCCGGTGCTGAGCTAGTGCGTAGCAACTAATTATTTTATGACGTGTTTGTAGAATGTTAAGTCCCCTATTGACGGAGGTGAAAGAAGCTACAGCAACAAGGTGATAATGGCTGAAAGTTGTTTTTGCTGTTCTCCAAATAGCATTTTACAGTTTTTAAATGGTGTAAAAATGCAGTAAATGAGCTTCAATTTTATAAAACTTCCTTGGAGGTTAAGCTGAAATTACGCCCCTGGTTGCATTATTTTATTTATTTTATTTTTAGTCATTTAGCAGACGCTCTTATCCAGAGTGACTTACAGGAGCAATTAGGGTTAAGTGCCTTGCTCAAGGGCACATCGACAGATTTTTCACCTAGTCATCATATACTCTCTGTTGAAGTTCATCATATGACACTGTCCAAGACAATGTCTCATTCTCTAAATGTGGTCTGTAATGCTATGTGTTACCAAATGGACATGACAGCAGCCATACCATGCCAAAACAAGTCCAGCTACAGTGTTATGCTTTCATTGACTGGCTGAATTGGTGGAGAGTGTTACAAACTGTGAAAAATCAGCTGATCATAAACGTCTTTGATATTGGGTGACCCCAGCTGACCTTTCCAGATGAAGATCTTGCCGTCGGAGCCGTGATCCAGGATGAAGCAGTCGCTGGACTCCAAGGCACTCTGAGAGAATGGGTTCTCTGCTGCCACCATGGACATGGCCATGTCTCCACTGGCATTTGACACCTGGGGGAGAGGAGGAGCGACAGAGGAAGAATTTTAGAGGAGAGATCAGAGACGTGTATGTGAAAAGTCCTCAGGGTCTATATGAGATGTTCTCATAATGCAGCTAGACCAGTTGGTCTTGGTTTCAGTAGATTGTTCACTGTATTCACACCTTGTACAGTTTGGCCATCTTCCTGTTTGAGGCATCTGCTTTGATGTCATCAGAAGATCCTTCAGGAAGGTCGGGTTTATCTCCCAGAACCTGAAGACGCACAGAGAAGATCCCTTTTAGATATACTTTAGAAAATTAAACAATGCTTTAACCACAGCTGGAGTTTATTCAAAAGTCCATTATGCACCATTAAACACCATAATAAGCATCAACCAATCACAGAAACAAAGAGAGATAAAGAGAGTAAGAAGACTCTCCTGTTCTTTAGCTGTTTATGATCTCACCTCTATCATCTTGTCTCTCTCTGCCCCGTCGTCACACACGTACACGCGGGCTCGCCCACTGCGCTCATTGTCACGGATACCCTTGGCAACCTGAGTGGCCTTCAGCTTCTCAAAGTGGTTGCTCTGGGAGCCACACCACTGGTAGATCTCCTGTGGGAGGAGGGATACACAACAAAGAGGACAAGTGATGTGGTCAGCATCGACCAGGAATTCGTTTGCATGAATTTTAATTGTATTCAGACAATCTCTCTATTAAAAGTTTGTCTTTTCTCTTAAGTTTCTCTTTTCTCTCTGTTTATTTTATTGAAATGTCCCGCCAATGTTTGATGACGCTATGTACTATGAAGTTAAAAGTATACTGACTCAGCATTCTGTCTGTGCACATCAATCAATGAGATAGAATTACAGTACACACCCACCACAAGTCACAGTGACTTGAAGGAGGATGCTAATGGTAACTCACGCTGCCCAGGTCCAGGATGAAGCAGTCTCCCTGGTTGAAGCTGTCCCAGCTGACAGGCACCTCCGTCGCCCTGACAACACGCCGACCTTTGACCTGTAGCAGCCGCTGCATAACCACCTCGTTGGTAACAACATGTTTGAACCCAGATGCTACGCCTCCTTTCTAAAACAGTGACAAAAGATATGGCACAGTTATTATGGAGCCATTCACATTTCTAGGGCATATTTCCTCCATTAGATTAGATTAACTTTATTATCCCAACAAGGGGATAATACAAGGAGGGCATACTTTATTCCCATTAAAAGGTTGATGTACTCCAAAGCCATTTAGGTATAGAGACTACTGTATAGTTTATAACAATACCCCTGCCTGAGGTATGAATGCAATATTATGTGTGTCATGGCCAGGATTTGTAGCAATAATGCTAAAACTATCAAATAAAATTATAATTGTCATCTCAAATAACATCTCCTCACCAAGTACTTCAATCCAGCCTTGAAGTAACCCAGGAATACTTTGGACTCATGTCCCTGGACCTCACGGTACTGGATGGGTTTACCTCCCAGATGGTCATCCATCTGGACAGTGAAGATGGCTGCTGCTCCACTCTCATCCTGGGTGCAGAAGTCGCCTGGAGCAGAGAAACCACAGAGGTTAAACTCACACTCTGAATTGTAACGTTTGCTCTCTTGTCTTTGTCAACGGAGGCCCAACCCCCATTGGCTGCTTAGTCTGCTAGATTCCACAGATGTCATGGATGACTATTTCCCTAAAGCAAAACTCAATGGACACATACCGGTACATCGAATGAACCAAGTTTGAGTATCACTCACTTAGTCCATTTCCCATAACATTCTGCTAAGGTTCTATCTAACAGGCTGCCTAGACGCAGGCATGATCAATACAATGACATGGGCCTGACTCAGCATTCTGTCTGTGCACATCAATCACTGAGATAGAATTACAGTACACACCCACCACAAGTCACAGTGACTTGAAGGAGGATGCCCATTCTAGTAAAAGTATTTATATGACATCAATCATATCCACCAGGGTTTGTAATGCAACCCATCCTGCTCCTGGTTCTGTCCTCACCCAGCCAGAAGTGCAGGTCATACTGCAGGTTCCCGGAGCGCTGCTTGATAGTGTTGAGGATGAGGTAGGCGTCTCCCGTGTAGAAGCTTCCATACAGGTTCTCTGGCACGGCCACCAGGTCAAACTTCTCAATCCTCCACATCTGCAGGCCCGCCTGCTGGCCAGCCTTCTCAAACTCAGGATGGTCCACCATGTTGCCTGCATGGAAAAATAACAAACGATATTGATGATATGGAACACTGTTAATTCACCAATTGCCAAGTTATACTGAGACAGCTACTAAGATAATTTAAAAAATATGACCTCAGGACCAAGATCTAGTAAAAGACATCTCTATCATTTATGGACAAAGTTTGCAGAAGGGAGCCACTCCCTTTACTGAGAGCTGTTGTCATGGATATAAAGATAACATTTTGAGTAGTGAGTTAATAATGTGTGATGTGGTGACTCATTGGTGCCCTGTGCTGTTGGGTGTTTCCTCCTTTCTCTGAACAGGAAGAGGAAGTGCTGTGATTCGGTTTGAGATGGGCAGCCCCAGCAGTGGTGCCACCACAGAATAAGTGTGTGTAGAGAAGAGAGGCGAGAGACAATAGATGAACTACTGCACAGTGCACACACACAGCACTCAGCCCAATGGGACAAGCCCACAAATATCACACTTCAGTCATATCAGAAACCAAAAAGCCATGAGGCACCTACGCTCAGTGAGATTATCACCTACTGTACTTGAGGTCATTTTGGCATGTGGAAATGTTTGAAATTTTTAAGACATGAGCAGCATATCCTGTTAATATCTAACTCGCAGACAACTCCTTCCTCCTATCCTCTTTGCAGGTTACTATAGTGATCACAGAAAACCATGTCAAAATGTTCAGTCAGTCGTCAAGTTGGTTCCTGTACTTACACAGTAGCTCTGCCACACACTGTTTCCAAAGCACACAAACACATAAGGTGTTGCCCACAGACATCTATATTTGCTACAGCTTTTCGTAAACAGTAACTGATCAAGATAAGATTACAAGGCCTCATTTTTTATCCGTTTTCAAAGACACAACAACAACAGTTCACATAAAAATCAAAAGTTAAATTACTATTATGGTAGGCCTACATCCACATAGCATAACACACCCTGAATTAATTATATCCACACTTAACATTCCAAACAGCGCAAACAGGCTGTCACGACTTCCGCCGAGGCTGCCTCCCCTCTTTGTTCGGGCAGGTTTTGGCGTTCGTCGTCACCGGCTTACTAGCTGCTGCCGATCCATTTATCATCACTCCACTTGTCTTGTCTAATTAATCACCCACACAGATAAGGAAGCAGAGGGAACACTTATACAATTACTAATTGGGGATAAGGACCAGGTGTGTGTGATTAATTAGGCAAGACAAGTGGAGTGATGATAAATGGATCGGCAGCAGCTAGTAAGCCGGTGACCACGAACGCCGAAACCTGCCTGAACAAGGAGGGGAGGCAGCCTCGGCGGAAGTGGTGACACAGGCTGTTCTGTGCTCCTAAATGAGGCCATGTTTTAGAGAGTAAACACAGTGTTTTCTGCACTGGGGCCCATCTGCGTGCCTCAGGACTCAAGTCTCCAACTCATTTATTTAGGGAAAGACTGCAGTTTGGGGCTACTTCTCAATTTATATGACTAACCCTCAGCAACAGAGCAGGCTTTGCCATTATTCTTGACAGCGCACTGGCCACAACCATCGAAAAAATCCACACGTGACCTTGTTTGGGAGAGAATTCAGGCAACCCTAACCCCAAAGAATCTGATGCTCCTTTTTCCTCTGTCTCTTCTACTCTTTCGTAACCTATGACTCATTTCACAAGCAGCCACATACTTATTTTCCTCTTCTCTTTTCTAACATGAAGACATGGTAGTAAGTCTTATAGCCATCATAATCATCTTAAAGTTCAATTTTGATGTATTGTAGTTTTCAATCACACAAGTATCTGTCCTGTTACACATTTCACAGGGGGAACAATCTGCCACTGTGGAGAGCAAACAGAGAACAAACCATGGGCCATAAACAACACATTGATTCCTGTTTCAGTTGAATATATAGCCATTTCATAAACACCAGATCATAAAGTCAGATTTACAGCTCACAGGGATCTACTGTATATTGACAGATAAGCCCAGCTCAGCTGTTACCTGAAACTCTGTCCAACACCATGAACATTGCCATGTCTCCAGATAGAGAGAACCATAGAAATATGAATGAATAGAACAGGCTTGAAAGCTCTAACCCTGGCAATTTGACCTTCATCAATTTGCATTAAATGCAATCCCATGATCATGGGAAATGTACTCTCACTAGTTAATTCAAAACTTTTTGGAAGTACTTGCAGCATGAAGTATGATGTTCCATGAAGTATGGTTTTACATAACCAAACACCTGTAACTGTGATCTCTACTCTGACAGAGGGGACTGTTTTGTCTGTCTGTGAGAACATCAAGGCCCCCAGTGCTAGATCACTACCAAGGTATTTACATATGAAACATCATCTGAGCAAGAACCCAGCAGGAAGTTATCCTTCTTTGAGCAGGAAGCCAGCTCCTCTCCGGTCCCACTGTCACGTCTCATCAGAGAAAGTAGCTAATGAAGTTGCATTCCATAGATGATTATTTTCTGTATATGATATGAATACATGCATTAATCAAAATATATTGCAGCAACCTGACAAGTGACACTGCTGCTACTTTACTTAGATACAAGCAACAGTATCTTCCTCTGTAATTACTTGTCTGCTTATGTGCTAGGTGAGGGGATGTCATTTGTTTACTGTAAAATCATGTCCCTGGACCTCACAGTGTTGACTAGCTAGGCTATACTAGCAGAAATGACTATATACTATATACCTATGTTATGTGTCCCTGTCAACACAAACTATACACAGTAACTCAGTCACTTCTCTGATGATAATCTGCTCTGTGTTCTGGTCAGTGATTCAGAGAGGGTAGTTTGGTAGACTCCACACTCCACAGGAGGGAGAATAAATAGAACAGGTCACCTGACTGCTGGTCCCAGTCTCATTGGCACATGAGGATAACAGAGTTGCCCCATGCAAATCCTCAGGACGTCCGCAAGTCATAACCCTTCCCTCTTTTCCACAACCACGTAAAAATGTGTCAGTCATTCCAGGATTCTCGCCCCCAGAGATTTGCTGCTGGCCTGTACGCTGCACCCCTCCCCCACCAACCAGCCCCTTTTTATTCCTCAGTATCAGATGAACTGAAAAAAAGCTTGGAATGTGTTCTGGGTTGGCTGCTGCAAGGCCTTAACTGAGGCCCAGAGAAAAGAGGGATGCTGGATTCGACAAACTACATTGTACTGAGAGCTGTTGCTATAAACCAATTATGTTATAGATTACATGAAATACACGATCATAACTTTTGGGTTTTCCGTTTCCTCATTTTTGCTCTCAGCAGTCTGATAGAGTTCTGTCTAGTACTCAAATCAATGCATTGATGACGATCTTCATGTCCATCCTAAGTTTCCTAAAGTTTGGTTTGGAAGAGAGATTCCTCAGTACTAGGGGGATTTAGGGGTGACTCATTTTCTCCACTCAGGCCTCTCCCTCAGCTAAGTGTGTATCATCTGCCTACCCTCAACTCTACAGGCCTCCCCACATAGCCATTCCGTTTGGCTCCTTTAACCCCTTCACTCTATCTACATACTGCAGTCTCCTGTAACTCTGCCCAGTGTTTACACAGAGTATAACATCACCTGGAGAGGAAGAGGATCAGAGCCAGACTGCACTTTATGGCAGTGTAGACACATAACTCCGGTTATAGGGCCGGACATTAAACTTGTGCGCGGGTGGGTACTGTTTCTAAAAAGGTCCAAAGTCTTATTTACATCTTATTTACCTGGCTTCTCTTTCTTTCTCTCTCGCATTAAAGTATTGACACACATAACACATGCACGCACACACACTTATATATGGTTATTGCTCCAGCTAACACAGTGGATAAAGTGTGATGAAGTGAGGCACAGGGGGATTAGGTGTGCTGTAATCTGTGGCGTCAGACAGCTTGCCCTGGTCTGGGCCCTCTCACAGCTGCGGGTGTAAGAATCATACACAACACTTCCCCTGCTGACTGAGTGCTAGGTTGCTCTGTCTCACACACACACACACACACACACACACACACACACACACACACACACACACACACACACACACACACACACACACACACACACACACACACACACACACACACACACACACACACACACACACACACACACACACACACACACACACACACGCATTCATGCATGCACACACACACTACTTTTTATAGACAACCACAGGCCAATACGCAACACTGTGTCAGTGTTGAGTGCGACACCAACTTCCTCTTATATTGGTTATTCATCATGCAAGGCCAGTGTTTGGAGTTGTGAGTGTTTCTATGGTGACTAAGGATGTCCATTTATGGATAAGAGAATGCCCAGCTGTTGATTGGATATGCACAGTAGGCATAGACAAACAGGCAATCATGTGTGCCATTTGATTGACACACCCTTGCACACCCTTTCGAACAATATACATTTAGCAGGAATATTTTGATATTGTAAAATGATCATTAATAATTTGACAGTCACTGTGCATAGTGAAGCATGCATTCAGAAGCATCTCTCTCTCTCTCTCTCTCTCTCTCTCTCTCGCTCTGTCGTGCAAGACCTATAAAGGCTTATACAACTTTAACAAAGTTATTATGTTATTACAAAGTTGTAACAGTTTCATTAACTATAGTTTACAAAGGGGGGAATCATCAGAGTGTAAGATCTTATTTTACATATTATAACAGTTTGTGCATCTAAATGTAATCTGACCTCATCTTGATGTTGGATTATTTTCTTTGTTCTCTTTTTATTGGCAAATTACCTTGTTTTTTCCTATGGTTTCATCCAAGTTTTCCACTGTTGGTCCATATATTATATGGCATCCTCAGATATAATAATTTGGCATAGCTCAATTTAAGTAATTGTCTCTGTTAACATTTCGTAATTCATAATGATGGTTGTTTTACTCCAATTATGCACATTTACGCACAAAAATCAACATTCACCAAATATCGGATGCATGAACAGAAGGGGAAAAAACACTCGACTCACCACTAAAAGTTGCAGCAAATAGTATCAAACCAGCGAAACATCGCCAGTAGAATAGGACT